TTATGAACCTCGAAATATACTATTCATACAAAATAATACATTTTACCTCCATTGTTGGATTTAAAGTTACATCTTTCCGATCCTCAACTCTTAATGCAAGAAGTAACTCAGGCTTTTGTATTTTAAGGTCGCTTCGTAATCCCAGCAATTTGTGCCAACTTGCTTTTGGATTCAAATCTCCACATTTAGATATTATTTGCGCAGAACGTATATTTAATAGAACGTATCCGAGTTTCTCTCTACCTTCGTTCTCTTTAAAAGCAAAGCATTCTAATTTTAATGAGACTTGCTCTGATCGCATTCTATAAATTAAATACAAAATGAAATCATCAAACATCTATATTTTATTATCAAATATATATACTTTATTAGCAAATAATAGCGATTTGAATAAAAAGAACAAATATCATTCTTACCTTCTCAACATTATTTTATTAGTTTCCCAAACTAAATCTGTGACATATTGCGGAGTTGGACATGACTCGATTCTGTCAGTTTCTAAGGAGTGTCCATTTAAAGTTCCAATTAATAATGTTGGTTGTAAAATTTGGTCAAAACCCTTCCCTGTAATATATATACATAAAATTTTATTTTATGATAATTGTTATAATTGATTAATTATAATTTGATAAATAATTTGATTTCCTCATACATTTAAGGTCCACATAAAAATTCCCTAATTATACTACATATTATATCATAATTTGTAAGTTATATAAATTAATATTTTCTGTTCTTTATTCCAATTATTATTAAAATTATTATGATATAATTATAAAGAATAAGTATATTTTTTTAGAGAAAAGAATTTTCAAGGAAAACATCAATTTTTAGAAATTTTAGAAATAAAACTTGCAATATTTTTAAGGTATACGTAATGCATTTACGTAAGGCATTTATAAAATTTTACCTTCTTTTATGCTCAAAATAATTTGCACATCGGATTTAGTTGCTTTCGTCATTTTACTTCTATAAAATATTCAGTTCCATAAAATAACAAATTCAGCAATATATTTGCCACGTATTTACACACTCCAGAGTCTTCCAGATTCAAACCCGCTGTCATGGTAACGGATTCATAAACACGAATCACGTTCCCTGATACAGCAGAAAAGTATCCCACAGAAAAAAAAAGAAATCAGAAAATACATTAAATATCTGTACATTATTAGTCATATTTTAATATAATTCTCATTAAAATGTTTAAAAATCGACCAATAAACTTCGCACACTCGGTGCATCTCCCTTTTGCTTCTTATCAGTACTTTCCATTTGGAACAACACAAGTCACACAAGTTCTATCTTTGTCACTCTCTGAATATCAACAAGGATAAAAAGACGCTTATTCAATTGTGTCATCAAATAGAAAGCACCTAAAGATTTAAATATATAATACTGACAACAGACAACAAAGAATAACGAGCTGTCCAATCAGAATTCTGTGTAAGTTCGATATTATATCCCAGAGCTCTGATTGGACAGCTCGTTATTCCCTGTTGTCCCTATTATGTTTAAGCCTTAAGGCTATACACATCCACGATGCTAGAAATCGATCCGAGACCTTTGAAGAAAGAATTAACCAATCGCAATGGTCATGTGAACAAATTATTCAAATGTGATTTGTAAATTTTTTTTTCTGTCCGAGATTTCGGACAGATTTCTAGCATCGTGGACATCGGGCTTTAACCCAGGTCTTCGTGTTGCACTTTATACACTCAACAATTTCGCTTTCTTTCTCTCTTTCTCTCTCTCTTCAACGCCTGAATACATATCTTTATCTTAGTTTAAGTGCAAAATTTGTTTGCGTTACTTGAAATCCCTCCAAATTTTTTCATTTAAAAGGAGATAAATATATATTCGGATGTTGGAACGAGAGAAAAAAACGAAGATGCTGAAAAGTACAACTCGGACGAACCTAATATACTACCCAAACACACTCGAAAAAATGAAAATCTAGTGAGGTTTCGATTTCTAAGGAGACATGCTCGGTTTCAAACTACGGAATACACAGTTCGTATCAGGTCTGTTTGCGTTGCTTACATTTTTGATACTCGGCATTTTCGTTTTCTCTCTTTTCAAGAGAAAAAAATATATATCTTATCTCATTTTAAGTGCAAAAATATTTAGGGATTTCATGCAACACTCGCAACAGACACAAACCTATTATTCATAGGACAATTCACTTTTTGGCGGTTTCGCAGTTTCATGAAGATATCGTGTATTGCTGTGTGATTTTTTTTAATTCCTATGCACATGTGATGGATTCATGAAAAGATCATAAATGTACAATTTCGGCATGCAATCACGGAGGAATTCGAGTTTCGTGAACCTAAGTGGTATCTCTGATACACGGAAAATTCGCGGAGTCGATGGAGCTCGATCAACTGGAGCAGTCCGCAAAACAATTAAATGCGGTGCTTAACGAGTTCCCGATCGTCGCAATCTCGCTGGACGATTTTAGACCAATTGAAGAGAAAGTCCATACGACCAGGAAATCATTGATACCCCTGAACTCCAGGTTATTAATGCTTAAAGCAAAATACAAACGTACGTCGTTGACGCGTCGGTTTGCACGATTTTCTTGACTCTAAAATCTTATTCTGGAATTACTTATATTTTACGTTGCAGAGTACATCGATGACAGACGCAACGAGAGCGAGGATGAGGTCGGAGACACACTGCAGAATGTTGTAAGCGACACACTTCTAAATACTAAGGCTATCAAATTGTGTCTTCATAGCACTACCATTCTCTCAATGCTCAGTAATAAGGAAGGCACTGCAGAGGATCAAAAGTGAGAAATAAATTTTTGTAAATGTTATTAATTTAAGAGTACGAATATTATATATGTTTTGAGTCATAAAATTCTTTTTTGTAATTGATCAATCAAATGCTTCAAAATATTTGAAATGAAATATTGACCTTTAGATATGAATCGAAATGCCACATGTAAAGAGATATGATAAAATAATTTTGCTTATTTTTAGAAAGCTCAACACCTACATGAGTAAACTTTTCACTCTCAATGACAATATTATGGCCACTCAGGAAGCTATCGAGAAAGCGTCTCAAGTACAGCTGGATCTGAAAATCGAATGTCAAAAGGCGGTATTCGAACACACAAAGTTTCTCAAAGAACAGGAGCAAATGCGGAGCGAAAGATTGCAAAAGACAAATCCCGAGATCGTACAGTGAGTAAAGATCCGCGAAATTCGTGTCTCATGAAATATTTTTGTATTTAAAATCTTTATTTTTCTTTTCAGAACTAAAAACCAATTGGAAAAGTATATACGAAATATAAACATAATAAAAAAACTCATTAGAAACTTCATAGCAGTGTCCAGTCAAATGCTAGAAAAGAAGCCGATACTGCTGAAGATGTTGGAGACTCACAGAGACTTGATAAACATCGAAACGATTGTAAAAATGTCGCAAAGTAATGAAGAGAATGAATAAAAAAAACCTTAAGGAGGAAGTACGCAGGAACTTTCATTAAGAACTTTTTTCTCAATTTCTTACTGGCTAAGCGCAATAGACACAACACATATTTACAAGAATAAGCTTCCACGCAAGTCCAATGTCTTTTTCTTATTTCTTTTTCCTCATTCTTTTGTTTTTTTTTGTTTGTTTAGTTCTTCTATTAAAACGCCTTGCCAGACGGTTTCGTATAATCATTAAACAAAGCATAATCGGTATTGTAATATAAGTTAAAAATTATATGATAGCAATCACAGCTTACGTATATATAGTAAAATCTTCGTTATAAGGGGAGAGAGATATACATATCCATTTCGTTAGAATCGATACAATGAGAGACTTTCGTTTTTTCGCGTATAATGAGAATTCGCGTTATATTATTATATAATAATAATAATAATCACTGCATGTTAAAATGCAAATGTAAGACAATCGGTTTCTTTTTTCATGGTCCGATGTATATAATATATCATTCAGTCTCGTTATATAATGTCTATTTTTTTTTATGTAAACCACTCTCCTCGCTTCCACAATCACACACCCATATGCACATATATATGGGTGTGTGTAAACACATAATTCTCACTATGATAGTACTAAAACAATTTAATCGCTATATACAAGTTTTGCTCAGTTTCAAATATATCAGTTCGAAAGGCGAGTGGAAAGAAAACGAATCCACTTGAAGGGAGCGGCGTTGAATTTCGTTAAAGAATATGATATTGACGGATCTAGAATACAAATCAATTTTTTACACTGTTCGATGAAAAATCGCGGAGTAACGCAATTTTACAATGTGCAGAGTATTTCAACAAATCCGCACTTATATAAATATTGTCGTTTCTCGTTAACTTTCTTGTAAAGAACACATTTGTTCTCAATGACACATATGTCAATTATGTAATAAAAAGAAAATTAGGATGCTCTGTCTAATATTGCATAGTATCGTAATAAAAAATTGCATTTTTACTACAATGTAAACAATGACTATGTAAACAGAACGAAATAAACGCACGCTTTACGCGTTTAATTTATCTTCTTAATTTTTTCCCCCTGTGTCTGCAGAAACGACAGTTTACGATGCAAATCCACACGCACAATCATTTCTCTGTATAATTATAAATGTTAATTGCGTCTCGTAAATCTCGCGTTATAACAAAATATCGGACACGTGTTCGCATACCCACACGCGTGAGCTGCCGATCTCATAAAAACGGCAATTTCTTCTTATCGTAGCAATCAGCGATTTTATTGTTCAACAATTCGTCCATTAAAACAGTACGAACATATAGTAAGTCAAAAAATGTATACACATAAGCCTCACTATGAAGAAACTATAGTGCTGATTAAATTAATCTCAGGAATCTCCCAATCAACATCTCTCTAACATCGTCGAATCGACATATTTATGCAATTAAACGATCACAACACACGAAGGGAAACGCATGATCATCCAATCTCTCTTTCTCTCGAAATTACGTTTTACGTAACAAGATAATTAATTACGCAGCCTCATTTTTTTTCCAGATACGCACGACCCCATTTATCGCTGTATATGCTGCTCTTCGATCAATGAGCCATGGAATGAAAAACACCGAGGATATATCGATCCTGGCCCCAATCTCTCCTACTCGTACCAATTTACAAATATACAAAAAAGAAGAAAAAGAAAAGTATCTCTTGAGCGGAGATGATCTTTCTTTCTCTCTCATTTTGGATTACAAGTCTTAATCTTCCCACGTATGCAACAATCGCTCTTCTCTCTGTGCAAGATACATATCTAGGGGAACTGGAAAAATGTATAAGTTTTGTATATTTTTTGCGTGTAAATTGTGTGTATATGCGCGCGCGCGCGCGCGCGTGTGTGTGTGTGTGTCTACAATATCCGAGGAGACAGGATTTGCTCACAACCATACTTAACCAGCAGTCAGTCGTGTTATATTAAAAATCGTGACTTTGCGCGCGCGTGCGCTTTGAAAAATCGGCTAGAAAACTACGGGCTAAACATCCTTACGCAACGTGGTTGCACAGCAGGATTTATTATAATTACGCCAAAACGGATTCCTCGGTGACAGGACAGTGATATAATAAATATCAGAGACTTTCTCTTTTTTTCTTCTATGTTGCGCCTACATGGACCTCTCGCGCACGCACGTGCTCTCCTCTAATCAGAAATCACCTGATTGAAACTTACAATCGTATATGCCGCTCGCTATTGGATTTATCGCGCGAACAAATTTTATTCGCAAGGACGCGATTCGCTCACGTGATCCGCGTACGCAACAATTGCGATCTAGCGTCTTATATACAAGTACGGAAATACGGCGGATACGACTCACGCGAAGTCGCGCCGGGAGAAAACTTAACATCTTTTTTCAACGATTCGTTCTCTTTCCACGCACGCGGATATCATCCAACGTCAGGCATTCATCGGATCACTCATTCACTTTCTGCGTCCGCTGATATAAATGTAGAACGACTGGTTGTTTCGACGGTCGCTCGCCAATTGCGTTTCAAGCTTATAAAAGAAAGGAACGATGCTCTCGCGGTGTGTCGACAGTAGGAAGATACAGTTAATGAGAGGGAGAAAAAGAGAGGGAGAGAGAGAGAAAGATGAAATTCATAGAGTAAGCTTATTATATCTCTATGTTTTTAAGCGTATTACTTTTCAAGATGTTCGACGGAATGATTCCCTCCCTCTCTTCTGTCTCTCGTTTGCCTTTTATCTTACGAGAGTACGCATGATGTCAAATATACACGGTAGAAGTATGTGATAGTTCCGTAAGTACATGGTTTTTCTGTTGTCGGACGCGCTTGCCGAGAAGTACTTAAGGTATTCAATGTGGATACAACGTGGTGTACAGGCGTGTTACATAGTACGTATGCGCATATATATCTTGGGAGTGGTACGAAATCATCGGTCAGACTAGCGTGTGGATCATTGGACGTAACATACGTTTCTTCAACACTCGCCATCTCCGCGCCTCTACTCCTTATTCGATCTCTACTGTTTACCATGTTCCTGCAAAAAGAAACAGACTTGAATTTAACTATACCTTTGAGCAAACAAGTAATACTAGCGGAAATGTTCTCTCTGGGAAATTCTGAAAACGGAAGAAGTGGATTGTTAACATTTCGTAGCAACTTCTGCGAATGTTTGTTTAAAAAAAATTGTGCTTGAATTTTCAATTTCTTCTTAATATCGGACAATAAAGAGTTTGCAAATCTTTTCTGAATTTTTTAATACTGATTCTAATATATCTATATTTTAAGAAATGTTACAATCTATGAAATTTAAAGCGAGAAAGTTTTTATTCAAAGTCGAATTTAAGTGAGCAATTACAAAATAATCGTTAATAAATTGTAATCAATTATCCTTACTTGTTTAATCAATATGACTGATGAGGTCCTTGCTCTATGTTCCCCAGGTTTTCATACATATTTTCTGATTTGTCTCTTGGTTACTTAAAACGTTTCGTCGCGAGCCATTAGCAGAAAATCGCACGTGTTAATCCTTAGAAATGCCTCGCGACAGTAAGGCTCTCCTCATCATGAAAAATAGAGGATTAAATGTTTACAGCAGAGTGAGTTCATTACAAAATGAATTTTATGTTATTGCATATACACCGTACTCAATTCATTTTTTTCGTATTTAGATCAATCTGTCTCGAAAATCACGTATGGTCGATTCTAGTTTTTATTATTGATTGCGACATAAATTTTTATATCAAGAACATCGAAATAGAACCAAGCGTGGACACACCGTTGATTCTTTCCTTTCTCTCATTTGTTCGTTAATGTCCTTTTTAATAATCGAAAATGCGCATGGATCAAGAAACAAGGGCTATCCATCATCGCACTCTTTTCGCAGAGGAGATAATTTGTATCGAAAGAAACGCTTTTCTTTTCTGTTTCTTTTATCGTTTTTTTTCTTTCTTTTCCCTTTTTTTTTAATCGATACACACTGGTGATGGAACACGAATTTGACTGCAATGTCATATAATTTCGGCTATGTCACATAATTTCCTCGCATTTACGTGTTACTAAATTTTCATTATATACGCTATAGAGTCTACAGACAGAAAAAATCTTACTTCATCGATATGTTATGTAAAATGTAATTGTTTCAATTGTTCATCGCGATAGATCACTTTCTCACATGATAATTTCATTTTGGAAGGCATGAAACCGAATCTTATGATATTGCTTCGAAAAATGTAGCACGGAAACTATGCGATTTCTGCGCGATTTACCACTGTTATTTGAAAATTACAGGTGTACGCGAGCGGATGAGAAATTATCATAAATAATACGCGAACAATAATCATAATCGTATCGAGAAATATTATTCACAAAAAGACATTTCGCATTTCGAGAAGCTCGTAGCAAAACGTTCCTTAATATATATTAATTACGATTTATATAGTGATAATAGAACTATCGTGCGTTCATAATTCCCGTGTAGAAAAAATAGGCAGTGTACACATATCAAAGAAATTATTTCGACAAATTAATGCATTGGGAGTTTCGATTTTAGTATGGACTTTTATATGGATACGATTCAGTATTATTTCGATAGCGCTTATTAATAACGCTAATGCTAATACTACTCTTTCACATCTACAATATATAACTCAAAATTAAAGTTATATAAAAATTATTTACTATACGGAAGGCTCGTATATACTACATATATCCTAATATAAATATTTCAATGCATTAGAATCATTCTGTATCACGTATTGGACGGTGGATTAAAAGAAAAATCGAAATAAAAAAAGTATTTAAATAAAATCAGGAGAACGCGAACTTTCACTTTATACATAGCATTATATGTTCTCACGATTCATGACGCGCATGATTTATAATTTGTGGACTCGACGAGGGCAAAATGAGAGCATTTATTTACAGATATATCCAATGTCTCAATCCCATCCCTGCGGGCCAGTATACATGCGATCGTCGTTTTTTTACCCCTTTTCAGTTTCATGCCTTTCAAGAAGATTATAATCGGATTTCGTGACAATCGAAATCATGATTATAACAAATTCGGGAACACGTTATGCTCGCTTATCCTGCAGGGGGACTGTGAATACAATGAGATCTGCGGTAGGTTCAATTCGTTATAATTCACGATTATACATGCGATCGCACGACGAGTCGCCAACGTGTATCCATCGCACAACGCGGCGGTGTATTAAAAAGCGTCCCCGTGTTTCAAGAAGAGAGTCGTAGGCACAAACAAGTTCTCTCAACATTGGTACGTCATTTCCTTCTTACTCCTATGTAATGCGAATATGATTCAGTTGGTTTCCCGATATTGAAACGTCATGGCCGCCGTCACGGCCGACAACCGTTTTCAGTCAACAGCGACGTATCAATATATTGATGACATCGATAACAACGTAATTGATAAACGCGGATATGAATGACAATGGTGATAATGACAATGGAAATGGTGATCATGATCAACGATGATGATAATGATGATAAAGATGATCAACATAATAATAATATCAATAATAATAATGAAATAAAATAAAATAATGAAGAATAATCATTATAATAATAGTAATCGTAGTACCTAATAGTAGTAATGGTAGCAGTAGTAAATAGTAATAGTAGTGAATAATGGGCAGCAACAAGATGAAATGTAATCATGACAATAGTAGCAATAATCTAATAGCACGAGGTCACTTTTCTTGGCTAAACGAGAGGATTTATTCAGCAAGTAGGTAAGTGGATTCGCTAACGTCTTAACTTCTATCAGTAGCTCAAGGCCACAAAGAATATTCATCAGCCCATTTGTAAGAACAAGGGAAGGGTGTGAATTAAAAAAAGGTGTGAATGAAACTACAAGATGCATACGAGGCACATTTAAAAAGATGGATACCAATGGCTAGAAATTGATTGGACTTAGTGACATGAGAATTTAATCATCGAATAATTAAATTTATCAATCATGGAGAAAAAAAACAATCGAATAAACATGCGAAAACAAAATCTCAGTTTATGTTGTACTAAATTTTCATGCTGCTCATCATTATCCCTTGAAAATATAATTACACTAGATATATCCTTATTAGATTTCTGCGCTTAACTTAAAAATCAAATTAATTAAATTTTAAGAAAGATCTATAGTCGCAAAATATATCCATAGCCATTTTCCATCTGTCCAGATGTACTCTATTTTAAAAAATGAGATGAGAAAAAAGAAATTTCTGGCAGCTCCTGATAAAGATCAATGAAAGTCCGGTATCAATGTATCAAGTTCTCTGAATAAAGTTTTAAGTAAAGTCGATAATTGACCATACTTTCATCGTAACATATAACCAAGCAATTCTGATTGCAACAATACTGAGATTACTAGAATTTCACTATACCGAGGAGCGAGTGCCTGAATCGTCATCAGCGAGTCCGCTTATTTATCGAAGAAATCAGCTCGATTGGCCAGAGGAAAAGCAGCTTCATTCTCTTGATCTCGACTCAGTCGCGCAAGCGTCCAATTAATAATAATAGCGGCGACGTAATAGAATGGTCGTGATGATGTTGATGACGATGATGATTCAGTTCGACAGTGGCGGCGGCGTCGGCGTCGGCGTCATCGTGACAGTGGTGTGCAGCACCGAGTCCCGTGACGCGGATCGGCTGCCGACGCGCAGCAGAGTGACGGCTTCTCTCTCAGGATCGGCGCCGCCTGCAATACCACCTGCTGTACCTGCGCCTGCACGTACTCCCGTTCCGGCGCTGCGCTTGCCAGTCCTTGACGTTGTGGCGACGACTTCCACGGTCTCGTCGGCACTATTACCCGCGCACTGCACCGCCCCCCCGAGACCAACGGTAACGGACAGTCATTTCTGCCTTCCACTTTTCTTCTTCTTGCGCTTGAAGAAGCAACAGCATCTGGAAATGAAGCAAACACTAATAGGACTTAGAGTCGTCTCCTTGGCAGTGTCTTTCGTTGATCAACACATCGAGCATGCAGCAGAGGGAAAATAATTACATTCGACATATGATCGCGCAATATGAGAAAGAAATTTGTCAATTTCTCAATAGATATCAGATATGATTATCTGATTGTGTATAAATATATAGTTATTTAATTAATCATGCAGTTGTTAATTTGATTTTATCAAAATTCATAGAAAAATAATAAGGAAAGGAATGGGAACATCAGAAAAGAGTAAAGAATATAAACTAAACAAAAAGAATAGAGACATTTAATTATATTGTTGCATCACATATAAAGAAATACATCATTTTGATAGTATAATATAATTGAGAAGACGGGCGTGCGACTTGCTTAAATCAAATTGTCGAAATTTTACATAAATTAATAAAATTCTTTTTTTCTGATTATTTATGCTGTTTAACATCATACATTAATTAGAGTCCCTTCGTATAAGATAATTATAATAAAAATATTTAAATGTAATACAAAAAACATTTATTTTACGATAATAATAAATAATTATCTCTAAATTGTCAAATCAAATCTTGCCCCTATATCTTATATACATTGTAAACATAATTTATGTTGTGAGAATAGCGAAACTTGAATACTACTGTAATATTTTTGTTCTAAGATAAAAGTATTATCACGAATACATTTAATTCATTATAATTTCATATTTTATTCGTGACACTGATTTTGTTTCATTATCAATTTAGAAATAAAATTTCTATGATCAATCAATTTTTAATAACGTTTAACAAATATCATATTTTCTTCTTATATTGCGAAATAAAAAATCTTGAACTGACCATTTTAATTGGTGTAACAAACCTAGTTCGGGAATGAGGGTAGGATAAGTGCTGGAAATATATGCTTGTAAAGATCGTAACAATAACTTTCCACATCGAGGACAACGTTTCCGTTTTAGTTGAATTATTTTTCTGAAAATAACATACACACACATGCATAGCTTAATTCGCTCATTAAATTAAATTTAATCTTTTATATCTTTAATATCCAATTGATATAAGTAACTATTATTTTTATTCTGACTTTAACATTCACTTTAACAGTCTTCGACTTAAAGTGAATGTTAAAGTCAGAATACTAAAGCTCTTATACTAAGGCTCTCTCTCAACTAAATTTTACTAATAAAATTTCAGAATACTGCACATATAAATGCAATAATGAAATGCAAGAAAACAGCGGAAGTATAGAGAAGTACAATAAAACAAACTGCTACTAACTTGGTTTCGTCGATCATGTCCACTTCCTGAGGTGCTGTAATTGGTGTGTTGGAGTGACCAGCGGTCGGGTCATCGTTAGCCAGTTCTCCATTAGTTGACGATACCACCTGTATACATCGTATAATGTTATTGCAAAGATCGATAAGAAAATATACGTTTTACATCAAGGGATTTTTACATAACTATGTAGCTTTGATTGTTTTTGATATTGGATATGAAAAAAAAGAATAGCATTCTAGTTGGATTTAAAGTAATATACACTGAAAATCGATTTGTTCAAAATCTACTTGCAAATTACATAAAGAACCAAATAGGATCTTACGTGACAAAAGGGAAAGGGAAGTGAAATTTATAGAAGACAAAACTACTGATACATAAATTTAATAAAGCAATATACTAAAGAAATAAAAAGAAGCATAAGTAATAAATTCTGATCTTCCTCAACAGTACGGTTCGTACGTGATGATAATACTTTTGTTATTGCAAGTGCATGGGAAGACAAGTGATCGTACTAATACCGGATTAGTATTTCATATCCAATCAAAGAAAGAAGATAAGTCTCGATCACAATTGACACAAAGACAACATGCCGCAACAAGTCAAATTGCACAGACTTCTAACTGACCATAATCCAGTGGTGCTTTGTCTAGAAATAGAGCGAACAGTTTACTCCTGATAAATTGAAACATCCCGTATACGTCGACATTATGAGAGTGAGAAACGAGAAAGATGATAGAGAAGAACAATGAATAATTTCATCCTTCATCAATCTTTCTATACACGCAAGATTTATATAATTTTTAAGTTTTACGCGGAGAAAAAAATGTACGAGATTATATGTATTTAATGTAAATTTAAAGTCGCATCGCTAAAAAAGTAGCATTTTCATAGCGGGATTGTAAGTGAATCGGCAGAAAATAAACGAGAAGATGCAAAAAAATCGAGAAAAAGGGAGAAGCTTCTGGGAAGTCGAGAGAATGGCACGAGAGAGGAAGATGCGCAGGTAAACTCACCTGTACAGAACCATGCCTGTCAGCAGGTGTCAATGTACCACCGGCTCCTGATTGCTTCACAGTATCTGGCCACGTGGCTCCCACCCCCTTACCGCCCCCACCTCCCACCCCTCCACCTGCCACATCCTAAAGGAACAAGCATGACAATTTCGCAGTTGCATCGCGTTAAACAATGTCCGCGAATAAACTTGAAGGACAGTAAAAAAAAAAGATGTTGAGGAAAGATCCAGAAAGGAAATCTTTTAGGATATAGCATGGCGATCTGTGATGATAAACGCGCTTTAATAAGATCAATCTCTATATTAGGGGGATGAAAATGCGATTCGCTTCCTAATGATAAACGAGATGTACATAATTATCTACGCGTTAAATATTTATATGTTTAATTTTTATGTGTTTCATTCGGATGAATTATAAGGAAAAATGCAATAAATTTCCTGGCTTTAGCTTATCACAAACGATGAGCTACTTAAGCAACCACGGTGAAATTATTTCTTCATGCATGAGTTTATCGTTATCGCAGGTTTCTGAACGTATCTATAACTGAATGTATTGTCTCGCCATGGTCCCTCATCTATTTAGTCACTTTAATAATACTGCGCGAAAAAAATTTATTGCCGCTATCAGTCTGTTAATCAACTATTGATCTAAAAGACTTAAGTTCATAGAGTTCACGCTTCACGATCGTTAAACCTCCGACCTTGTTTTACTATCAGAAAAACATTAACAACGCGCATTATAAAATGTAACCGCGGGTATCTTTCCGACTATACACTCATCTCGTTGCTGATAAGATAAAGAATGCATGAAGAAGTCGATTCATCGAGTATGTAACCTAAGATTGGCTTACATATCGGCCTTGTAATTCGAAGCGAACCTCATCCATCATGAGGATCACATCCTCTTCAAAATCATCGTACTCCTACAAATTGATGCCATCATATTCGCGTTGAATTACATGCTCGGAGAAATCAGCATACGTGTATACATTTTTTGTATTTAATAAATTAATACCGGCATATTGATACTTTCGAAAAATTTGTTTGTTTGATCTATATCTTTATTCTGAGATAAACAAAAATTCTGAATCAAGGTCGTTGTTAAAACTCTGTTTTCGGTTTTTTCGCTACTGAGGCGTGTATCCATGCGGTTAACTCGAATAACAAATGGGCTACACACGTCCATGCTTTTGGCTTAGAGAGAAGAAAAGAAAAGGTAGAAAAAATAGAAAAAAACAAGGAATACCTTATAAGCAGCGGGATGCCGATCACGATTTGGTGATACAACGATCTCCTGGCCGGTTTGAAGGGATCCGACGGGCGTGGACTGTAATGAGAGAGAAAACGTTTGCTTGATATACATATAATGAATGAAAGCTTATAATGAGCGCCATTATCGTGCGCTTCTACGTATTTTCACGAGGTAGATAACATACTTGGAGCTGGAAAGCGGATAGACAGACAGACAGACAGACATATTGACGGACTGTGCACTTTAATTTACGCTAACAGAAGACTTGCGACATCACAATCACGTTAGATCCCTGTATACGTAAGGCCAGATGGCCGTGGTAACGATTAGTTGGAATTAGATATCCTCATGTAAGAGATTGAACATCGTTTAAATAACTTCTTGATTGATCCATATTTTTCAGAACTTGCTTAAGATAAACTGAGATGCGTGGATATCTCATTCTACCTCATGCATAATCTATCTAATTCTATCTTAAGTGGATCCTGCAAAATAAAACGGACCAAATTTATGGTGTTCAATCTCTTAGTTAAGGATTTTTAGAATATTGTGATAGTGCAACGGTATTTTACTACATTTAAGAATTATAGATATGCGATTATTATATTGCAATTTGCGAAGATATCGAAACTCAATTACTCGGCCGCAGTTATCTAATATTGTCACTACTCGTAAGCCACCACCAACCTTGTCGGACTTAGTTTTGCCAATATGTGAGGGGGCCGCCATCCGTAGTGCTCTCAGATTCTCGAAGTCGGATGGCTAGAGATAGTGCATTGAGAGAGAAGGCAGCATGCAAATGTTAAAAATCAAATGTGAAACTGCTTCGGTATTGCGTAGCTCTATGTTGCGGGTCTGTTGGAATAGGCAGGTGATTTACTTACCCAATTGTCTTACTCCGAACAAGTTATTATTTAGAAAATGACTGACAAAAAAATTAATGATAAAAAATTTCAATTTAAAAAATAGAAATTATTTGGAAGCAGGGGAATCTTTTACCGAAAAACAGAGAAACAATCGAAAAGAATCGATCTTTGCATCATTGAATCATTTGTAAATGTTATTGTAAATGTTATATCATCTTTACTGAGAATATTTACATTTCAAAGATCAGAATAACATTTTGATAAAAATACTTTGTAAAGATTTTCTAATTATATAAGAGATATAAAATCATAAATAAATGACGCAGTTGATAAAATCTTTTTTTCGTTATTGAACAGAAAAAATATACTTATAGATTACGTCAATGCAAAATCAGTTATCGATTCATTTTCTCTTATTAATAATGGTTGTTATTACCGATATTCTTCAATATAACAAACAAGTTAACATGCAAATATATGTCATTGTTTTTCATGAAGTAATGGATAAAAAATAATGTGACATTCACTAAAGGTTTTTGCAAAAGCTTTTTGCATAACGTGAATAAACAGGAACAAAAATCGTTATGATCATACAATACGTACCATCGTCTTGCCGGTCCAGTCAAATTCGCCATCATTGACGAAGCCACGTCTCTCATACAGATCGTGGAAGAGCTTCCTCAAATACTCGTAGTCCGGCGTCTCAAAGAAGTCCAGCCTACGTACGTAGCGCAGATACGTGGCCATTTCCTCGGGATGGCCGTCACAGAGCACCTCGATCGGCGTCGCTCGTTTCGTATCGCCAATCTTTTGATAACGTTCCTTCAGCGTGTCAGCCTTCAGCCCTTGCCACGGCAGGCTGCCACGCAAGAAGTACATGAACATATGGCCCAATGCCTCCAGATCGTCTCTTCTACTCTGTTCTGTTTATGGTAAAACATACCTTTGTATATACTTCATACAGCTTTCAACAATTATTTATACAATAGAAAATTTCATTGCTCACAACACATATTAGAAGATATTTAGAAAAAATTCTAGCGGGAAAGAGAGAGAGAGAGAGAGAGAGAGAGAGAGAGAGAGGGAGGGAGAGAGAGCGCGTTATAAAAATGATATTCGCGATGGCTTAATATTCAGCAGGTATTGTAAAGTTCTGTTAAATCTTTGACTTTATATCGATTATTTATGTAATTCAATTCTACATTTGAAAGATTATTAAAATTTAAATAATTTTAATTTATGTTACTTGAAGTCTGAAAAAGAGTGATCCTCATGGTACTTACTGAAGATTAAAGCACTCGCCGCGCTTTCTCCCAGCTAGAAGATGGCTTAGCACGTGGCGATTTATGCAGCGCAACGGGCACACACACATTCACGCATATACGCACACATATGATGAAACAAAAGTAAAGTACGCCCGTTACCTTTGCCAAGATGCGTGTTAATGCTCATGTAACGCGCCGTGCCAGTAAGACTCTTGTGTTCCCGATACGGTATATGCTTGTTCGTCTCCAAGTCTATATACTCTTTGGCTAGTCCAAAATCGATTATGTGAATAATTTTTTCCCGCTTGGTAGTGGATCGTCCTATCAGAAAATTTTCCGGCTTGATGTCGCGGTATATCAAATGCCGACTATGAACATATTCTATCCTATGGAGCTGTTAAAAAAAAAACAGATACATTTTTTATATTTTATTCTACCAAACAAAATTATAGATTTTTATTCTCGTGGAACAACAATTTTTTATTTTATTTTTCTATTTAATTGAAATAATAGTTTCAAGCCACTCTGATAACAAGAAAATAGTTACTCTGAGGAGAAATGGCAAACATTTATGTTTGTGGAGTTTGCCAAATGTCAAATAGTCTGGTGTTTGAAATCGACCTCCAAAGTGTGGTTGTTTGAGAGTTAGTTTTGCGGAAAGTGTTACGGTAATGCGACTTACGAGCTGTGTGGCAATGTTGAGAACGGTCTTCAGCGTAAACCTTCTCCCGCAGAGGTCAAAGAGGTCTTCGAGGCTTGGACCAAGGAGCTCCATCACCAGGGCGTTATACTTCCCGCACGGGCCGAAGTAGTACACCTCCGGTATACCCTCTATATGTGTGTTATGAACTATACCGATCGACAAAAGCAGATCATACCCCAGATCACCCCCAGTGTATACACGAAATTATAATGGAACGCGTAAAACGAAATAAGAGCATATTACGACTGTAAAATAGGCAGATATAATTTTATGAATGATATTTTCAGTAGTAAAAATTTCGTTAACAATATTGGAAATTTTCTGATTAATTTCTCATTTAACATGAAAACGCAACGCAAAACGAGAAAGAAAAAATTTTACATACACTGAACTGTGATATTTCGCGAATATTTTTCATAATTTTGCAGAATAAGTACAACTGCCAATGGAATATAATTTAATGTTTTAAGCTTCAATATTGCATGATAAGTCCTTAAATAAATAATTAAGTATTTTTCCCAATGGAAATAATTATAAAGATAATAACTAAAATAATACAAAAATGACACGCGAGAAATGCTGTTGCTGAATACTCACTATATATATATTGAAAATTATGAAGTTGTGACAAATAATGACTTCAACGTTTCTAAAAAAGTCGATTCGAAATTGGCCAAAGAATTAACCGTTATAAGATAATGTAAAACAGCTTGTATCTATT